TGAAAGAATAAACTTAGCAAGAAGCTGCACAGAGTTAACCCTGTTTAGTAACTATGCTTGCCTAACCACCACACTACAGCCTTCACAGAAACAAAGACTGCACAATGTGGTTTTCATCTCCATTTTTGTATATGGCCTGAAACTTAAACAAATGGACTTCAGCACTTCAGTAATTCCACTTATACTGATCCTCACACCTTTGATGGTATGAGCAAAATGACTAGAAAGTGTCTTGAATTGCAAAGCACAGCAGTTTTTCCAAAGTTAAATCTAACTGGCCACCAAAACTACAACAAATAGCCACAAGACAGACCAGTAAGCTACTGAAAATCCACATCCTCAAGGCTATTCTTCAGCAACTGCCATTACCATGTCACATACAGCGGCCATGATCACATTCTGATACTGTCAAAGCCTGCAAGAAAAAAGACCTGATTTTGACTAAAGAGAAGATGACAGAAGATAAAAGAGACACAGGAGACTATCTGTAGTATCTTTTGCCTTCACTGGCATGCTGGAGAAAAGGATTCATTTCTCATAAGCAAAAACATAATGTTCATATGTCAAACTGATAAGAGCTACTGCTTTAGTAGTATGACATGCTCCAACAAGGGGAACTGATCTTGGCAAGGACTTGACAGAGAAAACATAAGACAGATAATTTCAAGTTCCATGTCAAACACACTACACTCTAACTGATTTGAGCACTTACTGTAAATATAAAAGCATGTATTTAAATGTTTGTGTAAATGAAGAAGAAAAACAAAGTTACTGGAAAAATGCAAACCAGACTATATGACATTCTGGTATTTCTACAGGAAGTCTGCCTCTCTGGGCTCCCCACAAAAGGAGCTTCAAAACTCCTGGCTAGTCTTGTGTATGTAACTAGTTATGCCGAGTTGTAACACCAGAAAGAGCAGAGAAATGAAATGCTGAAATCAGGAATGCTGACAGAACTCCAGCTGAGGTTTTGAAAAACAAAGGGGCAAAGGTGTCCAGTTCCAGCAGGTTCCAGTCTAAACATCTGAAATGTGCATTAAAAAAATTGAAAAAAGTTACAATATTGGAACTGTATTTTTTTCTGAACTGTACCATCTAAACCATATTCTTCCCTATTTTGAAGATAGTCTCTAAAAGAAACTAAAACAAAAGCAAATCAAATTATGCTATATGTTAATAAGTGACCAACAGGCCTGTGCATAATTATCTAAGCAGTTTACCTCTAATTATGGGTGAGGGTACTTCAGACTTGCACAAAAAAGCCTGCAGTGCAGATATTCACAATTAGCTGCCTGCACTACCACTGGCTTATTTGTGTACAAAAGGAATAGTGCACGTGCAACTAACTAAAAGCTGAGCAACTGACATACTCCTTTTAAATGTATTTGATCCCTAATGGACAGTAAGGTAACAAACTAACAAATTTTGTCTTGCAAAATGGAAGAATTACCTACTTTCTCTTTAAAAAGAAAAAAAAATGAAAATATGAAAGAGTGACTTATATAACTTGTAATTTACTACTAGCTGAGGATAGTAAAATTGTCAAGAGGCAAAAAAAGCTGTCATATGCAATAAATACATTAGAAAACAATTATGATTACACGTCTTATGAAGACCATTAAGTACTTTCCAATGCTTTAACAGTGGTAGAGATGTTTCCTTTATCACTGAGAAATTTTTAGAAATAAATACTTGTGATTGCAAGGTCAGATCACCCGTTCCTCCTAATTCTAGAAAAGCTGAGATTGAAGCCCCAAGTCTTCACACTGACAAATTTATAGCACTACTGTAGTTCCAGTAAATCTTAACTAGAAAATATAAAGGAGAAACAGTAAGTACTGAAATTAATAAACCAATCAAATTAATCCATATTTAATCCCATCAATGTAAAATGATAATAGCTCACACACAGGAAGACCAAAATGTTGATTTTGCAATTGTAAGTAAAATTTACAAAAGTGAGCCAAGATAATATTTATCTACATGGCATGACTTAGTAGCATGGTGGTTTCAGAAATTTATTACAGAAAAAGAACAAAAATTAATTAAAACTCAAGATATCACCAAATTTTATTTGTTTTAAAGAGAGAACCTGAATGGACTATTGCCATATTTAAGAGCACTCAACATTTTCGGTGATTTTAAAGTGACTCAATACAATTCTTGATAGCACACTGTGGATGAGATGGACATCAACCGAACAGAGCAGTCATCAGAACCGTGCCAGAAAGACCAAACAAGACAGACTCACTCAAACAAAACAGGTTGTATAAGAAAATCAAATGCAGAGTATATTGATAGGAAGTAGGGGGCCATACTTTAAACAGCAGATTAACCTAATCTGCACACACCTTCTGCACAGAATAAGAAAAAGATCCAAAGGATGACAAGCCTTGAGTAACTACTCAGTTGCAGTGGCTATCCTGCATGAGTAATTCCAGTTCCAGTTACACAGATAATCCCCGAAACAGAAGAAACTGAGCTGAGTGGCAGTAACAAGACTGCACACGATTCTAGTTTTTCAACTGAGCATCTGTCAGTGAGAAAAAATGTTGAAGATCACAGACATTAACACACTGGTAATTGCATAGGTGAGATTAAGAAAGCCTGTTAGAAATAAACTGGATTTCTATAGATGCTGTAAAGCTTTTAAGGCTTGGATCTTTGTTCATCCTCCAGAAGGACTGCAATGAAAAGTATCACTACAGGTTAGTACTGTAGGAAGCAAAAAGCCATAGTTGCAACTGAAAGGTCTGCAGAAATTGTGAGCAGTTGTGTTCATTTCCTGTGACCTCATCACCTCCATCTGCGGCTGCCCACAGTGAAGCTAAGCAAATAAGGCTGACCTAAAAATTCTCCATAGAGTCAACAAAAAAAGCAGCATAAGAATCAGACATCCTGTGCTTTATTCAATACTTAATAGAAGCTGTTCATGAGACAAGCTTATGAAGGCAAACAGATTTCAGGAGTTCAAATCATATTGATTGCTGCACTCAGCTAGTTCTATCATCTCTCCTTGAAGTCAGGGGCAAGACACAAGATTTTGCCACAACACTGGTTCTAGACTTACAAATACATTATTATCTGTGACTGCCACCTCTGCTGCTGTAAAATATCCACTAGGATTAGACTCTTATTCCAGAAAAATATGGTTGGGAGGAAGGGGAAAGCAGACATCTAAACAGATCCTGAAGTGACCTCTTGATACCAAAATGGTACACTACCACCAGTTCAATCTTCCAGAAAAGACAAATCTAACAGAAGCAGTAATACTGTCCTTTATTCAGCAATGCACATAGTGCAATGCTAGCACCAAACAGTACCTGAGGTGCTAGAATTGTAACTGCTACAGCTCCGGAACAGACTGACAGCATCTGAGCTGGCATCTCCTGTACCAAGAGCCACATGAACTAACTGGGAGAGCCTGGAGAACTGCCATGAGAAGTAAGCATCTGGCAGTAGTCAGAAGTAACTATGTTTTTGCTATGTTTGTGCTATTCTAACTGGTCTACAGTAATCCACAATATCCATTCTGTTTTATCCTCATCTACATTTTAAGTTCTGAACTTTGATATTCAAACACATTTATTTTCCTTTCATATCAACACATCATCTACAGCCCTTCTTCATCTCAAAGCAAGCCATATTTGCTAACCCCCATCCTGACAGTCCTCCCTTTAGACCTGCATCCCATGTCTGTTACCCCCAATGCCTGATTCTTCAGAGGTGGGAGGGAGAAACAAAAGGACGACGAAAATCCTGTCTCTTCTCCTATACACCCATAGGAGGGGAAGGCTTTCAACATGCTGGTTGTTATAAATGTCTATAGGCTTTCAGAATTTCTGCTTATATCACACAATCCCTGTCATCTGACTGGATCAGAGTTCAGAATGAAGGTTTAAGAACCCAAAGTTTGAGGACACCACTATTATGTAGTGCCAGCTAACTGTCTTAGGTTAACTACAGAAGTCTTTGAGGCCACTGCAACCCTAAGACAGGTCAATTTACAGAGATGCTTTTTCTTTTTTCCTTTTATGAGAAATGTCTTTTTGTACAATGGATTGAGTATTGATCTGTTGTTATATTATAGGCTCAACGTCCTTAAGGAAACTCACAGAGCCGAGTCCTGCTTATAAACCAGAGCAGTATTACCAGTTCCTATCTCAACCTGGCCTTTGGTTGAAACTGGTAATTCAGAAATGGAAGAGTAGTTACACAGAGGAAATCGAGATTTCACAAACTGTTTCAAAATTAGGATTAGAAAGATTCATAAAACCTTCAAGAGTTATTAAGGATCACAGATCTGAGGTTTCTCTGTAAATACTGAAAAGAGCATCTACTGACTAATGGAAGATACACTAAAAGGACAAAAAAAAAAATAAAATGAATGAACATGAGAGGTTCATCAAAAATACAACATAAGAGAATGAAAGTCTGCATATTCATTGTTGGCTTTATTATACACTATATTCAAAGTGTTGTAGGTGTCATCACATTAACATTCTATTTTAATTAGTTTGCATTGTATCAATGGTCTCTTTCCAATAGAAGCAGCTTTCCTGTGGTTTACTATTTGAAATAACCACAGGATAACAATGAATACATGGAACTATTCTTAACATCATGAAAATAAAAAAGCATAGCTCCAAATGTAACCTCAATAACAGAGAACTGTTATGTTAATTTTCATAAAATTCAGCTAAAGCTTTCTCCCTAGACCCACAGCAGCAAGCAGAACTGTCTTGTTGTATGGAGACACGTTAAAAAAAAAAACCAAACAAACAAAAAACCAACACCAACTCCTACGGTTCCTGCTGTATTTGTGGCTCCCTGGCCTCCTCAGAGAGGAAAGCAACAGCTATGTAAAAAGTTTCATACACGCTACTGCAGACTATAAGCTTCTTTGCAAGCAGGCAACTACACTGACTTGATTTCACATTTTCCTGATCCTAGAATTAAAACCACACATCTATTTTTATTCCATATTACAATATACTTACTCTGCCATTACACGTCTGACGTTATTGGCATATAACACTGGATTTTTTCTTTCTTCTTCTGAAGGAATATACACGGGTAGAAACTGCATACAGAGAACTGAATTATACCAAGAACATTTAACATGTTAAACAATCTCCATCATAGCACTATGGTGAAAAACGTACACAGTTTATTACTACTTACAAAATTACATTAATGAAAGAACTACCAAAAAAAAGAAAAAATTGAACTCTTAAAAGCTTAAGGATGCACCACACTTCTAGAAATTCACATAAGAGTGACTCTGCTCATTTCTTACCTCATGTAACCCAAATAGAGTTTTTATCTTCCTCTCATAAGTGGGACCAGGAATTTTTAAATCATTTAGAAGTATTAGCTTTCTCTTGCACAAACTTTTCTTTTACATCCTGTATTGTTCGGATCTTTCTGGATAACCAGGAAAAGCGCCTGCTATACAAACACTGTTCTATAGCCTAAATATTAAGAATTCAAATTCTCAGGGCATCAAGTATTACTGTTCCCCCTGCACATTTTGAAATCATATACGATTGCTTAGTGGACATATCAGAAATGTTTTTATTTTCTACTGTTTGAAAAATCTCTCCTTCGAATTGGACACTAGTTTTTAATACTCAATTGAAAGAAAAACTCTAAATAAATGCAGATGGCCACAGTCACAGAATAGTTGAAGTTGGAAGGGGAATATTAAACCAGAACTGCTGGAGACTGCAACAGAAGAGGCAATGTTCAGAATGTGACAGCCTATATTAAAAGACCTTCCGGCTTTTGGCTACGTTTTTAAGTGTTCATTGAAATATGATGCAAGACCCAAGATCGTGGCAAGCCTTGCCTCCAAAATCCTTCAAAACACGTCAGTTCTGCCAAGTAACTAACTTCTCAGAACAAACAAGAAGGGATCACTCCAATTCCCACTCCTGCTCAGTATGAGACAGAAAATCCCCTTGGTGGTGCAATGCAATGAGATAATTTACGTACTAAGTGAACAAACTGTTCATAATCCTGTGGAAAGCCTCTGAAGTAGAAACCAAAGTTGTAACGAGCTTAGCTGTATTTCACGTATTTACCTATGAGGACTATGATATGGGAATTATGATCCAGAAATTTCACACTGGTCTTTAGAAAAGAAAATAACTGGGGAATAAATACAAATTTTCTCATTTAAGCAAATACTTCTCAGTAACTATGGAGTTAGCTGTATTTTCAGAATCACATACTGGTATGATCAGCAGCACCCAAAATGCTGCCATTAGATGTTTGTTTAACTCTTTCTTAGAAGTATACAACGATGGACAAATCTTT